CCCCCCCAGCTCTGCCATCGAGACCCTCAAGGCCATGCTGAGCCAGGGAGGCAGCGAGTCAGTCAGCCGTGCTGTGACGGAGGACGGAGGCTGGGAGCTGCTGCGGAACCCGGACAGGCACTACGACGGAGTGGCCTTCCTGGCCAGGTGAGTGGGCGACACTCTGGGTGGGGCCCTTTGCTGGCCCGGGACTCTCCCAGATTGCTCCAGGGGGCCCCGTCTGCGGATGGCTCCTGGCGCCACTGTCACAGCCCCCCTCCCGAGAGTTGCAGCGGGGTGGTGGTGGTGCAGGGGGCTCAGGATCGGTGCTCTTTGAGCTTATGGTTGGCTTGAAGCCATTTCATCACCCAGCCAGGTAACTTTTTCGGTGCGTTGATGATGTTACCTGGTTGGGTAATGAGAGGTCTGCAAAAAGCAGCCCAGCTCAGAGCAAAAAGGACCCCGCAGCCCTCTTCCTCCTCCTCCACTCACCCCCTTCTAGCACTGATGATGTTACCTAGTTGGGTAGTGAAACGTCTGCAAGCAAAGAATCAACCTTGGGAGAGAAGCGAGGACTCTACGGTGCCAACCGTTTGGATGCCCGCTTGCTTGCTCTTCTGCCTGGGGGGAGGGGCCCCCACTGAGGGTGTCTGGCCGGGCGGAGGTGAGGCGGAGGGAGCGGATGGGGAGCGTGCCTGCAGGGAGGGGGCCAGGCAGGGGTTTCCTGGGCCGGCTCACCCGGGGGGGCTTCTGGGCTGTTTGCAGGGCCATGGCGAAGCACGCGGGGCCCAAACTCCCTCTGATCGTGAAGCTGCTCTCACCGATGCTGAACAGCATCTACGACAGCCAGCGGGTCACCACCACCGCCTACTTTGCAGAGGTGAGTCTGCCGCCCTTGGAGACCCCCCCCCCCTGGGCAGCGCCCCCCCCCCCCCCCTTGGAGCCCCGGGGAGAAGGGGAATGAATGTTGCTCGGTGGATTCCTCTAGTGGGATCTGGCTGCCTCCTGTCCAGATGCAGGTGGGGTGAGCAAGTGAGCCCCCCCCCCCTGGCTTTCCTTGAGCCGGTCAGGTGTGCACCTGCCCACCGGGACTGTTTGTTACATTTGTTATTCATTTGCTAACACTTATTTGCTGCCTCTCTCACCGTGGGGACGCAGCCCCCCCCCCTTTTACTTTTTGCTGGGGACCCGGCTCCTGCCTGGGCAGCCAGCAGACGAGGCCACCAGCCCTGACCTGGCCCCCTTCGTACCACCCTGAGGCATGGAGGGGGCCAGGCTGCCTCCTCCTGCGCAGGGCGCCTGTGGCTCCCACCCTTGGCCCACTTGCCAGCCAGGCCGGGGGCGCCCAAATGGTCTCCGTTACAAGGCAGCGGCTGCTGCTGCGCCCGGAAGTGGCCTCTTAAAATCTCAGCCGGGGATTAAGAGGCTCGCGGGGAAGCCCACAGCCAGATGGGAGGGAGGGAGGGAGGGGAGACACTTGGCCATGAAGCACGCAGAGCGCTTGAGGAGGGAGAGCCTGCACCCGTGTGCGCGTGGGCATGCGGAGGGAGGAGCTGCCCGTTGCACAGGTCCTTCGCCTCCCCAAACCCCGTCGCTGGGGACGAGGCAAGGCAGCAGCTCCAGTGCAGCCAGGGGGGGGGGGGATTGGGCGCGACAGGGAGGACTTCCTTGCGGAGGAGGCACTTGCAAATCAAGGAGGCCCCACTCACCTCCTCCAGGTTCAGGTTTTCTCCCCCTGGGCGGTGGTGGCCATTGGGCAGGTCAAAAAGGGGCCTTCGGCTCCACCTGGGAGCTGGCAAGCTGGACCAAGTGTGGGGCCCAGCTATCCAGGCAGGAGTCCTGCCGTTTGGTTTGGGCCGATGGAGTGGAGGAAGGGAGGGTGCAATCATTCTGGGGGGGGGGGGGGGGGGCCCCCCCTGCCACAAACGATGGGCTGGGCGTCTTTCAGCTGCTCAACAGCAACGTGGTGAACGACCTGATTCTTCTGGAGACTCTGATGGACAGCATGACAGCCCGGCTGAGGGACTCCTCCACGGCGGTGCGGATGCTGGCCCTTCGTGGATTGGGGAATGTCGCTTCGGGCTCCCCAGAGAAGGTGAGGCCTCCTGGGCTTGGGTGGCCACGTGAGGTCCCTCCGCCAGTGGGCCTGCCTGGTCCCTTACCCTCCCTCCCCTGATCCGTGGTCTCCTTGTGATGGGATGCTGGTTGCCCAAGCGGGACGCCCAGGTTCCTGGACAGACCACCCGCCCAGAGCACGTGCGCTGAAGCTGTGGTGGACCGTCCACTTTCCCTCCTCTTGCAGGCGAGGAAGCACGGGGCCCAGCTTCTGTCCTCCATGATCAACAGCTTGGACGACAAGGAGGATCCCCACAACCTGGTGGCCTTGGAAGCCATGTGCAGCCTCTCCAAGATCCTGGCCTTCACGGAAGAGAGCGACGTCCACGCCGTGCTGCTCCACGTCACCATCCGAATACGGCCCTTCTTTGACAGCGTAAGGAGTGCAAACCGGCGGGGGATCTGGCAGCCCTTTGGGGGAATCGGTTAGGTAGCCCCGATGCCTTCAGGTTGGTTTGTCTAGCACAGGGACCTCCAAACGTGGCCCCTTTTAAGACTTGTGGACTTCAACTCCCAGAATTCCCCAGCCAGCCAGGAATGATAGAGTTGGAAGAGACCAGAAGGGTCATCTAAGTCAGGGACCTCCACTTTTAAGACTTGTGGACTTCAACTCCCAGAATTCCCCAGCCAGCCAGGAATGATAGAGTTGGAAGAGACCAGAAGGGTCATCTAAGTCAGGGACCTCCAAACGTGGCCACTTTTAAGACTTGTGGACTTCAACTCCCAGAATTCCCCAGCCAGCATACGCTCGGAGGTCCCTGGTCTAGCATGGCAGGTGTCGTGGTGCATAATCTGGACCCGGTGGCCGATGGATGCCTCTCTGGAACCCCTGGTCATTCTGAAGGCGACTTGGGAATCCCTGCCCCTCCCCCAATCCCCTGGCAAGTTGTGATGTGTCAGAACGGAGCCTCAAAGGTGCAGCTGCCTTGTCCGTATTGAGGAGGGGCGGGCCCAAGGGCTGAACCGTATCCCCACCTGCCTCTGTGCCGCAGCAAGACGATGTGTGCAGATGTGCTTGGGGAGGGCAGTGCCAAAGAAGCCCGGCGTGGCCAACTCGGGAGTGTACGCTCCACGCCCACACGCAGGGCAAGTGGGAGATGACGATACAGTGAGCATGCTTGCTGTCCTGGGAGAGGAATTGGGAAGAGAACATCTGACTATAGAATCAGAATAGAGCTGGAAGGGACCTTGGAGGTCTTCTAGTCCAGCCCCTTGCTTAGGCAGAAGACCCTGTGTACCATTTCAGACAGGTGGCTAAACTGGACAGCCTCCAGTGGTGAATCACCCACAACTTCTGGTGGCCAGCTGTTCCACTGGTTAATTGTCCTGTCGGGAAGTTTCTCCTTATTTCCAGGTTGCTCCTCTCCTTGGTTAGTTTCCATCCGTTGCTTCTTGTCCTGCCTTCAGGGGCCTTGGAGAATAAGTTGGCCCCCTCCTCCCCTTTGCGGCAGCCCCTCAAATACTGTCATACTGCTCTCGTGTCTCCCCTTCTTCTCTCTAGAGTAGCCAAACCCAAACCGTGCAACCATTCTTCGTATGTTTTAGTTTCCAGACTGCGGTGGATGGATATTGTTGGGTTTTTTTTGGAGGGGGGGGGGGGAAATTGGGGGGGGGGAGAGGGGCGGGGGGGGGGGGGGGGAGGGGGAGGACCCCCCCCCCCCCGGGTCTCTAGCCCCCCCACCCCCACACAGGGCTTGCTTTCCTTGCAGGAGGAGGCCAACCTCCGCAAGGCCTCCATCTTCCTCTTTGGGAACCTGGCCAAGTTCAGCTCCGGGAGTGGCGAGGACGCCTTCTTCGAGCAGATCCTCTACGGCCTGGTGACCTTGCTGCTCCACCTCCAGGACCCGAAGCCAGAGGTCATCAAGGTGGGTGCCCCGGCTAGGAGGGGCTCCGCTCTCTCCGCCTCTGCGGGGAAGGCCCCACCACTCCTCCCCTTTCCTTCCTCGCAGGCCTGCAAGTTTGCCTTGCGCGCGTGTGGGCCCATCTTGGGCTGCGCTGGGCTGTGCGAGATGTTCCAGAAGCACCTGCACGAGGAGTGGAGCCTCCACTACGGCGAGTTCATGAACGACGCCTGCAAACACCTGGTGAGCACCTGGTCTCTGGCTTCCCGGCCGGCCTTCCTTCCCGCAGAGCATCCCGCCTGCCAGCCGCTGGGCCAGGGAAGGGGCCGGAGCAGCTACGGCACAACCGGTTCCAGAGCAAGCAGGTCCAAAGGGCGGTCCGAGGAGTTCTGGTCCCAGATGAAACCTTTTGGGGGGGCGGGGGGGGATCAGGAGGAGGCCCAAAGGCACCCTAGGCTTCTCCTCCTGCTTTGTGGCTGAGCCTCCTGGGCTGAAGTGGCCCTTCTGGCCCACCTGCACTTCCGGGCCCCCTCAGCCCCTCCGGCTCAGTTGCTCAGCGCTGCCTTGCCCCAAAGAGGAAGTTTCGGACGACGCGGCGCTGGGTGGCCCCTTGAACGGCTGCCCTGGCCGGAGGTCTCCCTGGGTGCCAGCTGGTCTTCCTTCCCTCTGGCCCAGATGCAGAACTTCCCAGAAATGCTGAGTCGTTTGGTCAGCATCAACCTTTTCTACTTCAAGAGCAGCTGGCCCGACGTCCGAGCGGCTGCCCCCATGTTTGTAGGTGAGAAGGGCCACGTGGGCCTCCCTCCCTGGGCTTTCCTGCATGGGCCCCCCGGGCTCCGTGGGACTCAAGGGGCCGCCTCTCTCCCCCTTGAAGGCTTCTTGATCCTCCACGCGGACCGAGAGCAGAGCCGGCAGCTGGACCTGGACGAACTGATGGCGGGTGAGTGAGTGAGGGAGGGAGGGGCTCCCGTGGATGCTGGGTAGGAACCGTGGAGGGAGCCGGCTGGGGGTCCCGAGAAAGGCCCCCGTCCACACTAGGGAGGGGAGTCTTCCTGGGCTTCAGGCCTCCCTGGGGGCTGTACCAGAGGGCTGGCCACTTCCACGCAGGGCACGAAGGGGAAAGGGTCCCGCATGGGGCACCGTCCTGGGCGAAGGGGGTGAGGCAGCCCCCTTGCCCTTGGCTAGCCCAGCCCGGGCTGTGGGGTGGAGGGGATCAGGGCCACGTCCCTGCGTGCAGCGCAGCTCCCTCCTCCCCTCAGGGTTGCCTCTCCGAGACCAGCCGGAGAATCCAGTTAGGTAATAAACTTTCCTGGCCCCCCCCCCCCCCCCCCCCCCCCCCCCGGTTTTCCCTTGTCAGCAGTGACCTCACCGCTTAGAGGAAGGCTTGGAAAATCTCTGAGCTTTCCAACGGAGCTTAAAAACCACTAAAAAAGGGAAAAGTATCTTTCCGTTGGCTGGTGGAGCCGTCCCGGAGAGAGGCCCGTCTGTGCAGGGGGGGGGGGGGGGGGGGGGGCAAGGACTCCGGATGGGGTCGCCACAGCTTCCCGTCTTGAGTGCG